AAATAATACACACACAATATTTGCCAACCCATTATTTTTAATTAAAATTAAAAATATTATACAGGGTGTTTCACACAACTTTACGAGGCTTGCATCTAATGTACGCACCCAAATATACAAAATTCACAAAACACTAGATAGGTACAGAAAATATACATTTAATTATTTAATTTTTGGAAACCCATGACAGTAGTTGTCAAACTAATCACTGTTTCACTAATAGTCATAAACTGCAGATTTTCAGAAACAATTATCATTTATTCTATCAAGAGATGGCATAATTATGATTCTATTTTAACTATCTTAATCACTAACTAACTAAAAATGTTTTAAAGGGCGAACAAACTAGAAAAGATTATTCAATTTTTCAAAATTTTTAATCGAGTTTGTATCGGAATATGTATTATTGATTGCATTTTAGAGGCGCTGGCCTCGTAAAATTATGTGAAACACCCTGTATTCTCAGTTTATAAATGACCAGATTCGTACAATCTGATTAAAAAAAAAAATAAAGTTTTAAAAGCAAGACCAATTCATCAATTTCAAATATCACATTTCAATGCAAGACCAAAACTTCATAACTTTTAAACATTATTTCCTTACCATTGTAAGGAACATAAAGGCACTTGTGAGATGAATGTACCTACGACAAAAATATGAAAATTGGCACTAATATGACACTACATACCTACCTTTCCAACTTTCGTAACACCCCCCATATTTACTCGACCAATATACAAAGTTTCTCCAGAAGCTGTTTTTCCAGCAGGGATTGCTCCTGCTGGTACTTGTCCATCTCTTGACGGCAACCAACACATTTTTTTTTCGCATAAAATCTAAATTAATCAAGGTTAACACAAGAAGGCAACAATTTTAAAATTACCTTGAAATCATTAACTTTTATTTCACGTCCATCATAACTGACATATGCTTCTCGTCTTCTAGGAATAATTTTACATGGCAGTTCATCACGCTGATAGTAGCTTAAACCGGCAAAAATATCACTTCCGTCCAAATCGTTTCCGCATTTCACGGCATTGGGAGGAATGTTGAAATTAGAACAATGGACCCAATGAAAACCTAAAAAAAAATTTTTTTTTAACTTTAACCAGTGAAAGAAATTTGCATCAAACCTGACATGTTTAAATGTGTAGGATGTCTGTATAAGTATAATCTGGACTTTCTATTTATATACATACTGCCAACAATATGCCATGATATTTTATGATATGATATCCTAATGTTTGTGTGGATAAATTGATAACACAAAAAACGTATTTATGGTTATCTCTTTTCAACATTTYTAAACAGCCTTGTTGCTCTYTTGCTACGTATTTGCGTAAGGTCGGTAACACTATTTATCTCACTTTAACAAATGTGATTAAAGTAACGCAGGGCTTAGTGACGTACGTCAAATAATAGTCCGGTCAAATTAGTCATAAAAATAGTGGTCAAATAACGAAAATTCCGACAGAGCAAAATTTTGGTGGAGACCTTGGGTATATCATTAGAAATAAAGTGTCAAAAGCCCCCATCGATCCCATGTGTGCTAAAAAAGTTTTTCGGGGTCAAAGGTCAATATTTGACGTTTTTTAGATTTTTTTCGAAAACGGCAAGTTTTATCAAAAAAGTAGCCCAGACGAAAAATATAGATCTTAAAATTATCTACAAAATGGTCTTTATACTTTTTTTGCAAGAATCACCATTCCTGAGATATCGCGATTTTAAAAGTTGAAGGAGTAACGTTCTACATCATATGCACATACAGAGTGCGCCAGAACTCGCGCCCCAAAGACAAATGCCATGTAGGATAAGGTACCAGGAACATAAAAAAATTAAAAAAAAAATTCTATCTATAAAAATTTCGAAGTTATGAGAGTTTAAATTTTGCACTTTGACTCTTATTTATTTCTGTAGGATAAATAATTTTCCACGTTTTTTTGCTACAGGCTATTAGAAAAGGAAACAAAGAAGCTGTATCCTAAGTTGTAACTCTGTTTAATGTTATTTGTAGCTTTTATTGACAAAATTTTTGTACCTTTATCAAATAATTATAAAAAAACATATACAAGGTCATCAGTATTAATAAAAAAATGACAAATGT